TTGGGGGGAAGATTCCAGAATGAAGGAGGCGCCACGTTTTGACTTCAGAATCATTTTACATGAATACAAACAAATTCTTCATCAAAATCTTCGGTCAGCAACAATCCGAATATTCACCATTGATATTGAGTAAGTGAATTTTTTCACATTACGGTCTATAAACTGAAGTTCTGAGCGAAATACGAGCGACAGATTTCGATTCTTGCACCATCTATCGACATGTGTACGTACAAAGTTGAGTCAGTCTTATTTCTCGTATAGAGAACAAAACAAAAGCGAATTGGTAAAATACCAGAGTTTCTATGCACGAATGTTCCGTGTGTTCCAATGTTTACACGGGACATCAAAAGGAACCCCTCCACTGCGTCTCGTGTTGGCAAGTATGCCCTTCGTGCTTTGGCCACACACACTTCTGTTACGTCACAGCACGTAAGGCAGAATAGACACAACTCCTATTGCTACAGGTTGTGTTTGTTTGTATGTTACTCATAGACACGCATCTGCAGCACGCAAATTCCATCAGCAGCGTCCGATTACGATATTCATGCTTAGATGCCATGCCCGATGCCTCTTCTGGCAATTAGCGGGCAATTAGCCGACGGTGTGCTCATTTCGCGATAACTGGTGCGTCGATTTTCGATTGTTTGGCTAAATGGTGCGTCAATATTTCGATAATTGATCGCGGATGGGTGTTTTTCATTTGGCGCAGGTATGCGAAAGAAGATGGTACTGAGGAAATCATCTGGGTTGACATTTATTCAAGAGACCAATAGGTAAGTTTCGGGTTACACGAAATCCAAATAATTCACAGTACTAGTTGTTGATGGGATGCGTGGATGCGTCCTGACCAGGGCCGTAGCGAAAAAAAACCACGGGGGGGAGGGAATCCAAATTTTCCCAACCACACCAGCAAAATTTCCCAATAGAGGAATCATCAAGACTCTATTAGACCGTGCTTTTGAGCTCTGTAATACGAAGGAAGGTTCCGTTGAAGATCAAAAATGATCTTCAACGGAATGGATACTCAAAACACTATCCGTAGCAGCCTCACGAAAACCAGGCCACCAAACGCGGACTGCGATTCCAAGAATTGCATTTACCGGATTCCCTATGAGTGTGGAGAGTCCTATATTGGTGAAACTATATATTGGTGAAACTATATTGGTGAAACTTCTTGTGCTCGCATTGCCGAGCACAAGAAGCACACACAGCGAGGGGAAACCAGCAAATTAGGAATAACAGACCATGTTCGGACCCATCAACACAACATCGAGTGGNATTCATTTTTTCACTATTATTTTTTCTATTTTCTTCACGGCCCAAAAATTTACCAACTTCTTCCTCTAGGTCCAAAAACCAAGGGGGGGAAGGCTTCCTCCCCATCCCCCCATGGCGACGCCCCTGGACCTGACCCTTGATACTTTTCGGTTATTTCAAAAGTTTTCTCCTCATTGATGTCACGTGGGCAAAATTGGAACCGCATATCGATATCTATCATCATTTCTGAGTTGCAGTATTTTCTAAAAGTTGCTGTAACTTTTTTCCTGTCAAAAATTTCTTGTGTTCATGAAAACATTTCCAAATCATTTCTTACGTGAATTCAGTGGTGTAAAAAACTTATTTTTTCAAATGAGACATCAATAGTTATTGATGGAGAACTATTTTTTTTAATGAGATACTCTGGATATTCCTGCATATTTCAATAGAGCTTTAAATTGCCTTCCCAAAAATGTAGCACACTTGATGTTTTGCTAGATTATAGCAGCAGTCTTTTGCGATTTCTCTGAAGCATTTGACTGTGTTAATCGAGAGATTCTGCTCAGGAAACTTTATCTCTATGGTATTGAGGGTATTACTCATAAATGGTTTGCATCTTATCTATCGGGTATAAGTCAAAGAATTGAATATACAACAGTATCTGATGTTTCTGACATATCTAACGGAGTACCACAAGGCTCAGTACTCAGACCTACCCTATTTCTACTCTACTCAACGACTTGACTACCATCGATATAGAGGGTAAATTTACTTTATTCGCCGACGACACTACAATATTATGGCACGAAATCAACACAAATGATCTATATAATGCCATTTGTTCTGATATTTCCAAACTCTCAGATTGGTGTAAGGCAAATTTATTAGCTTTAAATATCTCAAAAGCCAAAGTGTTATCCCTCAATTGCATTCTTGGTAATATTCCTCTAGCTTCGAATTCGAATGTGATTGAGAACACGTCATGCAACAAATTTCTTGGGTTATTAAATGATAATAAGTTTTGGGGACCACATACTATCACCTAAGAAAAAACTTTAATCTGGATGTTATGCTATGAAAATAACTAGGACTAGGACTAGGACTAACTGCAGCTAAAACTGTCTATTATTCGTTAGTAGCATCACATCTAAGATATGGAGTCCCTTTCTGGGGGGTAAGTAATCAAACTCGACTAGAGTCGATTTTTATTCTGCAGAAGAGGTTATTAAAATTTCTCTGTAGAGCCAGGCGGCGAGATTCTTGTAGGCCTTTGTAGCAAACAAAATTTTATCACTGTTCTATTCATTTTAGAAACAGTTTGTTCAGTGCATAAACATAGAACAGAACTTCCCTCAATTGTCTCTCATTACACTACACGCCAGACCCTAAATTTAAGTCTTTCCATACCTAACACTACTACCCCCCCATGGCGACGGCCCTGGACCTGATCCTTGATACTTTTCGGTTGTTTCAAAAGTTTTCTCCTTATTGATGTCACGTGGGCAAAATTGGAACCGAATATCGATATCTATCATCATTTCTGAGTTACAGCATTTTCTAAAAGTTGCTATAACTTTTTTCCTGTCAAATCCTCTAGCTTCGAATTCGAATGTGATTGAGAACACGTCATGCAACAAATTTCTTGAGTTATTAATTGATAATAAGTTTTAGGGACCACATACTAACACTTAAGAAAAAACATTAATCTGGATGTTATGCTATGAAAATAACTAGGACTAGGACTAACTGCAGCTAAAACTGTCTATTATCAGTTAGTAGAATCACATCTAAGATATGGAGTCCCTTTCTGGGGGGTAAGTAATCAAACTCGACTAGAGTCGATTTTTATTCTGCAGAAGAGGTCATTAAAATTTCTCTGTAGAGCCAGGCGGCGAGATTCTTGTAGGCCTTTGTAGCAAACAAAATTTTATCACTGTATTATTCATTTTAGAAACAGTTTGTTCAGTGCATAAACATAGAACAGAACTTCCCTCAATTGT